AATCTCGTGCAATACTATAAATATACTCATACACTCGTTTGTAAAATAGAATACATTTCTGTGTAGGTTTCTTAGAGTCGCAATGACTCGCTTTCTTTCTCTTGAGTCTCTTGATTCGATTTCATTCTTGTTCAAACTTTATCATATTTCTCATTTCACTTCTTGTGCGAGGCAGGTACTCCGCCGCAGCGAAACCCTAGCGTACGGTGCAATCTCGTGCATCCGCCACATCCGTAACTACGGAACCTCTAACTCATGGGGAGGTACGTCTTCACGAATCGTGAATGAACCTAACCGGCTCGGAAATCTTGCCAGCCACATACTCAACTCACCCATAGAACCACTCTCTTGGTTCTATCTCGCTTTCTTGCTTTCTCTGTGGAATCAGGTATCGTACCTTTAGTGTGCACACCAGGATTCCAAGTCTGGCGGGAAGCCTCCAACCTCGTAACATGGGAATACACCGCGTTATATGATAAATCTCTAGGACCGCAATGTCCATAACAAATCATCCGAGAAGACATAGTCCAAACGGGTCCTCCAAAACAAGGTTTCCTCACCATAGATATATATAGATATATCGCTCATGCATTTCATAATTGTAATACTTAGCTTATGCAAAATACATGCACATACTTCTCAATTTATTCTCAAAGATAAGATAAAGATGCTCTACGTGGAATGAGATTTTCTTTGGAAAATAATACTTAGGCTCACGTTGGCCACTTATTCATTTTTGAAACATGAAATACATGGAATGCCAAATACTAAACAACATGCTTCCAATTCATATAAATAGGTCATAAAGGTCTCAAGAATACAATATCATGCTCGGTTTGCAACATGTCAAATTCTATATATTTCTAACATCAAATTATACCCCAAATCCCATTGATCAAGCAACACATTCTAATCATGCTCTTCTAAAAAATATTACTCCCTAAGTGATCATGCTTCTCTACTCAACACATAAATAATCATCAGGGCAACAAAGCAAGGCATTTTCTCATTACAGTGAACTCAAACAAACATACTACGAAGCAAAATCATCACTAAAACCTTCATAACATGCTCATTTCTAATCCAAATTCAACGAAATCAAAGTCTAAACGTGCGTCAAGACGGCCCCGAGGTACCGAGCCACAAGAGCCCGTGAAACCTGGTCCGAAATGACACGTAGTTGAGCCACAAGGGCCCGGCCACTGCACAGGTAACTTGCAACGGTCCTAGCGGCGGGGCTAGGAGAGGCCCGCCGCCTGAAGCCGATCAAAGGCGGCCTAGGGCTGTTCATGCCACAGCTCTAGCCAACGGCTCTCCTCGTGGGCCGTTGGCTAGGCCCGCCACTTCCACTGTGCACACTGTGAGGTGCACCAGTGGCTTCTTCTTCATCTGTAAAACATTTCCATACAAGATTCCACTTCCAAATCATCACTAACACATTATACCACAACAACAAGTCAACTAATAGCTCAAACACACAACAATCAAGCATTTAGACTCATTTCTAATAATATAACAGTGGCTTCACCGAGCCAAAAAGAGATTGGGAATCCATGGGTTATACCTTTGTTGTTTCCTCTTCTTGTTGGGATTCCTCCTTCTTCCCAAGCTAGACATCTCCTTCACCTCCTAGACACCTCAAACAAGCCACACAACAACTCATAAAACTAAAGTCTCAGAGATAGAAACATGAAGCTGAAGAAATGGAAGGATAGAAAAACTTACTGTGTTTTCTTGTAGAGCTTTTGTTTGGGGAAGACAAGGAAGGGAATCAATACGCAATGGCTGAAAACATCTCATTTTATAGGGTTCTAAACGCTAGGAGAATGACCAATGATTGGTGGAGTGTAACACCCCCCTCAAACACGACCCATATAAAAGGCCTTAACACCTGCAGATCATACAACAAAACTAGCACAGCGGAAGATAAAACGAAAACTGGATAGAAGAAATCCAAAAGGGTGTTATGCCACGTATACCAAACACGGTAAACGCTACGGTGATCAATCTGCAAGTGTATACATCTATCCCAAAAGGTAACAACCTAACACTACAACGGCACACAGGCCACAAAACAAAGGTAAAGATACTAGACTACCGGCCACTAACATCGCGCTCGTCTAGACATCACCTGAAAGATACAAAGATAAACATTGGGACGACGCCCGGTCAGCGATAATGCTGGTAACCCACCAATACCTGTTAAGTATCATACATAGGTAGGGTATATACAAAAATCATTTCGAAACGGAATACATATATATAAGTGTAAAACCAAGAGTAAACACCAACTCAAGACTCAACACTCATCAATAAACACCACGGGAACACATCCCAAGACCACAACGGATAGCGACACCACAAGGATCAAGACACGACAACCGGCAACACATGCCTAGGCAACACATGCCTTTGTGACTACACACGTCACAAGAGAGAACACACAACCACGGCTACACAAGCCCTCGCGACATCACCCGCCACGAGTTGATATGCCTTCCTTATGCCTTGTTCCAACCATATGGCTACCCCCAACCTTATATCTAGTTCCAACCTTTACCTCCATGACCCCTGTACATACAGTCCAACCTTATTCCCCCGGGAACCGTCGTTCCCCTCCAACAGTCCTCCAACAAAGCCACCGATTCATAGTACACGAGGTACCGTACACGCACATGGCACACATGCCCGGATAACACCTGTTATCCCACAAAAACGTGAACCTTACACAAAGGCCACAGCTCCATAATCACGCCACGGCCACCACGAGGACCGCTGTAATACCTTGGTGACTAGTGTCCCATACCACTAATCGTGCAATCCAGGTAAAGCCACACACGCACCACAACTCAACAAGAGTCAAACAACGGATCACAACGAAGGTATGAAACATACTCAATCAAGGAACGGGTCACAGCCCAACAACATCAACGATTAATAACACAAGTTATCATCAACCAAACGGGAAGTTACAAACCACACACACGCTAGCATTAAGACAATAAACTAGCATGCTTAACAACGGAGAAACTCAAGATAGTTCCGAGGAACACACAAGACAGCTCTCGGTCCAACGAAACACAATGTTGAACACTTAGCACGATTCAAGACAACAAAGTCCTACATGGATACCTACCATATAGTTCTAGACATACGAAACATCAAGAAGACGCTCAAATAGTTCCACAAAAGAACATCGGGAAGTCAAAAGACCAAATACCGAGGCAAACGAATCACGGGGAACAAATCCCATCACAACACCAACCATGTACCCGCGGGTGGACCCACGGGTAGTGCCCCACCCGTGGTTCCGCCCGCGGGTACACACTTGTACCACAACAAATCCCTTTGGGGATTTTCTTCTCCAAACACAAATTCAAGTCCAAAACATGCCAAATCTCACCCAACACAACAAAATGACTTGAATCATGGAAAATTCCAAGCAATGGAACAAAGGAACCCTAAACACAAGCTCTAGATATGCAATATCACAAGACAAATGCATAAACCCTCACATTTCATAGCAAAACACAAGTAGAATCCAAGAAATCACATATAGGTAAGCAAAATAGGTTTTAGTAGAGCATGGGTTACCTCTTGTAGACCAAAAGACTTCACTTTACACCTCAACAAGCTCCTTACAAGGCTTACTATCCAAACCCACTTCAAGATCAAACCAAAAGATCATAAAGATCCTACTTTTAAGAAAAAGACAACTAAGATGGAACCAAAACACAAGATGGACTTAGATCTTACCATCCTAGATGCCCAAATAGCTGAAAGGTTGAATCTTGGGAGAAAATCTTGGAATCTTGACAAGGGTCTCAACTTGGCTTGGAGAATAAGCTACACTTATTTTCTAGAGAGAAGGTAGAGCTAATTTCTAGGAATTGTAAGGAATGAAATGAAGAAGTCTTCTAGGTTAGGTTACAATACTAACTCTTTGTGAAAAGTCAAGAATACCCTTACTAACCTTTAGAAAGTGTAAGGAACAAGGGAACTCCCCTCAAAGCTCAAGGTACAACACAACTTTAAGGTTGACTAGTCAAATACTAGTCCTTGAGTATTAAAAATCAGGATTTTAGGAATTAATTCCTCAAATAAAATAGGATTAATTACTCAATTAATCCATGGATTGAATGTGGATTTTTGGGGTGTCACATGGAGGGCAAAGGAGTAATTTAGCTTGGCTTCCAAAAGATCCGACAAAGTTTTGATAAAGCTTATGGTTCACCTTGCATCATGGACCAAGGTCTAGAAAGGAATTTTAAATAGTTTGGGGTCAAAATGTATTTTTCCAAAAATGATTTCCAAACCAACACTTGGTTCAGATTTCTCCCGGTCTCACTCAGATTGGTTTCTCAGTTTAAAACTTGGTACGCGAAGTACCCGAAAATTTAGGATTTTGGAATAAAAAATAAGTTTTGGTGTTGAATTAATTTAAAATGTGTTCAAAATAATTTATTCAAACGCCAATTGATCCGAAAAATTTTTAATAGAGTGAGAATGACTATTTTGGAATTTCTTAAAATTGGATTTATAAAATTAAATTTTGGGTTGTTACAGCCGCGGACATGGCAAAGGCCACCATGTCCGAGGACTGCCTCGGCCATGGTATCGGTCGAGGATTGCCTCAGTTGGTGGCCGAGGAAGCCTCGGCCACCATGGCTGAGGGTTGCCTCAGCCACCATAGCCGAGGACTGCCTCGGCCATGGCGGAGGCCTAAGCGCAGCCTCGGCTGCCATGGCCGAGGCGACCACTTTTTTTTTTTTTTTTTTTTTTTTTTTTTTGTTTTATTTTGTTTTGTTTTTGTGTTCATAGCTCGCTTTGGCTGGTCATGGGCTCGACCAAAGGTATGCTCATCCGTAGGGTAGTGAGCGATGTCAGACGTCATACTAGGCCTTAGGGGATAACGTTTTCGTAACCATGCCATTGAGCTTATCCAAGAAAACGCCCTTCGTCGGGTAGTTAGCAGGATCGGATCTCGTGTTGGCCCTTAGGGAATAGAGTGAGCGAGGTTTATTTTATTTTTTTAAAATTTTTTTTTTTTGGAACTAGGATATGCGTCATTCAAATGAGTACGGGCCTCCTTTCTGTATTTCTAGCTTCGGGCTTGGTGGATGATTTTTTTTTTTCATTCAACAAAATTGATCAGGACGGACCATGACCAATAGTCACATCAATAATCTTATTGCTTCTTATGTGTTCTAGCGAATAACAAGCCTTTTGCGCTAAGCAGGTTCCTCATCTAACACCTTGTCTCATTCTTCCATGATCTGTTCGTACCCCCTCCCAAAAGAAATGTTAATGGCGACCGGGACTGGTATGCTCTCTTGTGCTGGGACCAGGAACGATGACGGCAATCCGTCATCCTTGAAAAAACCTTAGAGAGAGAATCTGATTCTTGAATCTCTGATGAGTAGTGCGCTGGGAAGGCAAGTCCTATCATTTTATAGCAACAAAAATTGACCGATTCACATGAAATTAATACTTGGTATACATCTTTATAATTAAGATTAATTAAATAATAGAAAAAATAATAAACGGATATTACCGATTATATATATATATATATATATATATATATATATATATTATATATATATATATATATATATATATTGGAATTACACATTTTCCATCTTTAATTACGTTGCTTTATTTATTTTCCATCTTTACGCAATTTTTCTTATAATAAACGGATAGTACCGATTCTATATATATTTAAATTACACATTTTCCATCTTTAATTACACAATCTTCCTTATAAATTGTGGATACAACCGATTCTATTCCATTTTCCATTTTAAGATAAATAACATTATTATTAAAAAAGTTTCAGCGGGAAACTACATATGAGGATTTTATTTTTATTAATAGTATAGAAGTATAGATCAGATAATATCAATATGATCCAAAGTATATTAAGATATTTTAATATTATCTGTATCAATTTTCAATGTCAACAAATGCTCCATCGAGACTTGCTTGTACACCATTTGAGAGCATATGCCACTGAAGTATGTAGTGGAAGGAAGTCTCAACAAATAGTTAAAGATATAAGACCGTTTCAACTTGTGCCAAATAGTATCTTGAAGAATATGAGGTCATTTCAACTCGTGCCAAAGAATATCTTGAAGGATATGAGGTCGTTTCAACTCGTGTCAAGGAGCCTTGAGGGATATGAGGTTGTTTCTACTCGTACCAATGAGCCTTGAAGCATATGAGACCGTTTTAACTCGTGACAAGGAGTATTGTTTAGCTTCATCCATTTCAAATTTCATATAGGGTTTGCCCCCATATCGGTTGAAATGTATGTTCTTATGAAGAGATGAGAGGCAAAGCTGTCCCATCGGGCATGCCAATTTGTTCTACTGAAGTGCCTCCGGGATTCAAACGGCGTGGCTTTCGCGATTCAAGTGATGAGTCTTCCAGCAAAAAATGTATCTTCAAGTTGTACCTTCAACTCTTCAAGTGAGCCTCAATTCTTCAATTGTCTTTAATGCCTTCAAGTGCCTTCAAGATCTTCAAGTTGTTATTTAAAGATATCGTTGTTCGAAATACATGGGAGAGAATTTACGAAGATATCGTTGTTTGAAACTCCATCCCCCAAGTTGGATACATAAAAATTTGTCCAACGTTCTGGCATAGTTTCTATTCGATTTTGAAATGCCTGCACACGGAAGACGCGATGATAAGCATACACATACAGGTGGGAAACTCAGAAATTGGAAAGAAAACCGAGAGAGAATACATACCAACAGCGACCGGGACCTGGATGCTCTCTTGTGCTGGGACCAGGAATGATTACGGCAATCCGCCATCCTTTAAAAAACCTTCATAATTAGAAGGTAAGTTGTTTTTGAATCACTGTAAATAGAACATATAATTTTATTTTTTTTACAATTCTTGTTCTGTTATCTTTGTTCCATGGTAGTATAGAGTTTAGTAATATTTTCGCGAATAGTATTAGGAGAACAAAGTGTAAAA